AGCGATCCGCTGTTGTGGTTTCGCGTTTTACTGATTATTGATTGGTTACGCGGTTACGCGATACGCGGCAAATACGCTTCATGGGACTCCACCCTAATGCCTAGTTCACACTGGACGCAGCAAGCGGCAAGCGTCGAGCAGCAGCCAATCAATGAAGAGATATTTTCTACGCCACTGCTGACGCTTCTGAAAAATTCAACAGTGTTGGATTTTGGGCGAGCAGCGAGCAGCAAAAATAAGAACCTAACCTTACTGTGACTGTTACGTACTTAGCTGTTATGTTAGTGTCTTTTGATGATTTCAGAAATCAAAAATTTATGAAAATGTCACAAGAAACAGAAAATTTCGTAAGTAATATAAATCACATGTAATGATAGATATTCAAGAATTCAATAGTCAATGTGAAATAATTATGTTAAAAAAAATTACGGCTATATCAGATTATAAACTGTCACCTGCTTAATTTTTAATTATTAATTATTTTAATTTTCTACAAAATAAAAATTAAAATAACGTAAATAATGCGTACATTACTGATCATGTACTTAAAATTGGTTTGCTGCATTAAATTTTATTTCAGCTGTGTGGAAGTTGTGGCAAGGAAATATCAGATGATGTGTGTCGTGACTGTACATTGATAATCGATGATGACAACTTGCAGCAGGACAATGAATTCTGTTTTGACGATTATATAATATTGCTATTATAATTAAATTTTTTCTGCGTTCAAAATCCTCTTCCCAATTCATTGCGCACCTTATATCAAACTTTATTTTTATCGTTATATTTATGTCGACGTGTGTAGTCAATGTGAGTCATGTGTGAACCATTTGTAGCAGCAAGCGCTCGCTGCTTGACGCTTGCCGCTGCTTGCTGAGTCCAGTGTGAACTAAAAGTGAACTAACCAGCAAGCAGCAAGCGCTCGCTGCTCGACGCTTGCCGCTTGCTGCGTCCAGTGTGAACTAGGCATTAAGCGTTTGTTAGATAATTCGAAACGCACTTAGATTGCACTGATTTGTCAAAGTCATTTCTATTAAAGTTATAACATTAAACAATTCTTCATTAAAAAATCATGCATTTATTTTTATTGGCAAAGCATTCATTATTACTATTCTTTTGGCATTTCCTAAATCAGTGTTATTATCACGAATTTGGGCCTGATATTCTTCATGATGTTGGACACCGACAGTCATAACATCATTTTGTAATAAACAAATATTGTATAAGACACTACACGCTATAATGAACTCTGGTATCTTTTTAACGTCTGTCAGTGGTAAACAGTCTAATAATATTCTAAAACATATCTTCAATTGGCCAATCGCCCGTTCAACTGCCATTCTTATTGAAGATAGACAATAATTAAAATTTTTTTGCTGATTTGTCAAATGTCCATTGTCTCGAAATGGAACCATTACGTGGGGATGAATCGGATATGCTGCATCTCCAATAATATGAGAGTTGTTAGGGAAGTACACCTCAGGTCTCTCAAGAAAATGTGCTACTGGAGAGTTTTTGAAAACCCGAGCATCATGTACTGATCCCACTTGACCTGCATAGCAGTGTGTGAAGAGACCCCTCGAATTACAAACTACTTGAAGATTGATGGGAAACCTTTCCGGTTTATGTATGAAACTGAATCTGTTGGTGGTGCTCGGATCTTGATTTGAGTTCCATCTATAGCACCGATTACATTTGGAAAGCCACTAGCTTCTAAAAATTGATCGCTGATGTTAGTAGCAACAGCTTCATCAGGCCACTGAATGAATCGAGGCGCCATGCAATGCAATGCATAGGTTACACGTCTTACGGCTCTAAAAGCCGTTGTTTTACCTACTCCAAATTTGACGCAAACGGATCTACAATAAGCCATTATATAAAAAATGAAAAAACTGTAACAATGTAACGACAGTGGTAGTTACATGCATACAAAACAAAAATAGTTTACACAAATTTTACATACCTATACGAATCAGGAGTAGCCATAAACCACAGAGTAATATATAGTTGTTTTTCTACTGAAATTGGTTTTGTTCCAGTTACGGTATTTGTCTTATTTAGCGCTGGTCCGATTAATGATAAAATCATTTCAAATGTTGCCGGAAACATTCTAAAATGTTAGATTATGATGTAAGTGAAATTAATTTCTCAAAACCAAATCAAAAATATTTTATCTTTATAATTTAATGATATATATATATATATATTGAAATGCTTACCTGAAATACTCTTTAAATGCAATATCGGAGTAATTAGGAATTACACGATCAACATAATCGGTAATTTTTTCGGTTGCAATCATTTTCCCACGTGCTTTACTCCCCATTAGTGTACAATATAATGTTTGCATATCCCTTAATGTTTCGTCTTCATTTTCATGTTCACTCTCACTCGATTGTGAGCTGTCACTTTCGAAGTTTTTGTCTAATATCAATGAAGTAACCATTGATACTGTAAATCGTTTCTTGATGTTTCGTTCGGCATCCATTTTTAACATTACCACTCAACCCACTTCAGTCCACTCAGTGCACAGCTCGCACAGGAAACCGGTCCGAATTCATAAGCGCTTCGTGCGTGTTATGCGCGCATTGAAAAAACGGAACGATTTTAAAGCGTTGTGCATCAGTATTGCAGTCCACGCGCTTCATGCGTGACTCGGAACGCACCCATGGATATTTCGATATTAAGGGTGCCGTCACATGCAGTCCGTAATCCTTACCGGATGTCCGCAAAAGTTACTAGGGATTGCGTTCATAACGTTACGTGTGTTTTACCTCCTTGTGTCCCATGGAGCCGTATTCTATGAAATTTCTGTAAACGTTACTAGTTATTACCAGTGATGCCTTTCCCAGTTTTATCTATTTGACTGAATTTGACGGTTTAATTAAAACTTTTGTTATAATCAAAATATATTCTGCACTTTTCTTCTAAAATAAAATAAAGTGAACAATATAACTTGTTAAATAAAAAATGTTACCATTTACAAGTCCGCATTTTGCGGCTCCATGGGACATAAGGAGTATGTAAGCCAGTGTTGCCAGGTGCTTTCGTCGATTTTCCCCTAAAAAAACCTCGGAATCTCCCTAAATCTCCCTAAGTGATCTCCAAAAAAACCCTAGATTTCTCCCTAAAATTGTCAAATATCCTATATTAAAATTGGTGTGTCAGGTTTTTTTGAAGCCTCTATTCAAAGGGGTGTTGGAGTGCTCCGATTTCGATATGGTTTCGTATCCGAGGGTTTTTGGGGTCACTCGTTCCGAAATCGTGATCAAAATCTCGAAAATGGCTAAACCAATATGGCGG